CCCGGCAGCTCGCAGGCGGGGGACGCCGCGCGCGCCGCCATCGCCTTCAGCTTCTTCTCCGTTCTCAGCTGGGTGAGTGCGGGTCCGTGCGCGGCGGGGGCGGGGCTCGGCCCTGGGCGACCCCGGATGACCGCAAGCTCCCGCTCAGGTGGCGCTCACGGTGAAGGCCCTGCAACGATTCCGGCTGGGCACCGACATGTCGCTCTTCGCCACCGACCAGCTGAGCACCGGGGCGGGCCAGACCTACCCAGGCTACCCGGTGGGCAGTGGCGTGGAAGGCACCGAGACCTACCAGAGCCCGCCCTTCACCGAGACCCTGGACACCAGCCCCAAAGGGTACCAGGTGCCTGCTTACTAGGGGCTGGCAGGCGCGGACCAGGGCTCGAAGGCCATCCCACTGGCGCAGGCCCCAAGGCCCCCTGGGACCTCCCTCAGGTCCTTACAACCCATTGCCAGGGGCAGCGTGGGTGGCCACTGGGGGCTGTCTGGGACCAAGAGGGGGTCTTCTCTCACGTGCCTGGGCTGTCCCCAACAAGTTCCCCCAGTCCCCTCAACACTGGGCCCCAGGCCTGAGGTCCTGAGAAGGGGACAGCACCACCCAGGACATGTGTCCTCCAGCCTGGAATGGGCTGGCCTGGGGGAGGCATTCCCCTCGAGAGCCATCCAACCTGGGGCTCACCTGTCCACTCTGGGCACAGGGTTCCAGCCGCCCTCTACGACCAGGTGCAGGGGCTGCCCAGGACAGGGAGACAGGGGAAGGACACCACCCCCATTCTGAGGCTGGGGAGCCTGGCTACTGTTCCCCATCCCATGTCGCTGTGGGTAGTGGCTGTCCTTGCTTCTGTCATGGTGGTTATTCCCAGCCAGAGCCTCCCTTCACTTCCTCTCGCAGGCTCCATAGAACAGCCTGGCCCTGTCGATGTCGTGATTGTGGTCAAGTTTTCAGGTTCCACCCCATAGTGCTCCTCTGTCTGTGGCCCCCACTCCAGCCCCTACCTATTTTCACCCAGGCCCCTGCCCAGGTGTGGGTGGCTCTGGCCAGGAAGGCACCAGCGCTGTCTCAGCCCTCTAGGAAGCCCTTGCCCAAGGGAGGAGCAGGACCCCTGTGTGCCAGGCAAGGAGAGAGGCCCAGAGGCTCCGTCTGCCCACCATGCCCCTGGAGATGGCCCATGGGCTGTTCCGTTTGCCTTTGTTTCCCGGACCAGTCCCTCCTTCCCCACCCACTCCCCATTTTAAAGCCCAGCCCCAGGTTGGGACCCCGCTGCATAACTGACTACTGATGCATTGCTTGAAGCTGGCTTTTCACATTAAGTCAACACCAAGTGTGGTGGCCATATTTCATCTTACAGAAAGACACCTCCCTCTGGAGTTGCAGTTGAGTGACAACCCTGTACATTGTAGCATAGACCAATTCTGTGTGGATATTTCAGTGAACATGTTTACAATTTTTGTATATATCGATCTCTCCCTCACTCTTCTGAAAGAACAATCAGAGATTGTGTATTTTCAGTGTCCCATGCCCCAACTGCAACTTCTTTACAATAAAGACTATAAATGAGTTGACTGTGACCTGGACACTCCTGAATCATTCATTATCCCTGACCCTTCTGGTACCAGGGGTTGGGATCTGAGGGTCACCAGGGCCCAGAATCCAGGAGAGGGCAGGGAGGTGGAGGCTAGGCTGACCAGGTTCTGCCCTCCCCTCCCCATTTAACACACTGACCTGGACAAAAACTCTGCTGCTCAGAACAGGTCTCTGGAGACTCTGACTCAAAAAAAAAAAAATAGTGTACGGTTCAGTGACATTAATTACACTCCCAGTATTGTGCGTCTGTCACCATCATCTATTTCCAAAACTTTTGCATCACCTTTTTTATTTTGAGTTGGAGTCTCACTCCGTGGCCCAGACTGGAGTGCAGTAGCCGCTCCCGGCCACCGCAACCTCGACCTGCTGGGTTCCGGCGATCCTTCCGCCTCAGCCTTCCAAGTAGCTGGAAATATAGGCGTGCGCTACCATGCCCAACTAATTTTTAATTTATTGTAGAGATGAGGTCTCGCCAAGTTGCCCAGGCGGGTCTCGAACCCACGGGCTCAGGCAATCCACTCACCTCAGCTTCCCAAAGTGCTGGGATTACAGACTGAGCCCCCGAACCCGGCTCTTTTGCATCACCTTAACAGAAATATCCTACCCACTAAACAGACCCTCCCCTTCTCCCTTCTCATCCTCTGGTCATCTCTATCCTACCTCTAGGGGTTGGCCTAGTCTAGAGAGTTCACATAAGTGGAATCATATAACATCTGTACTTCCATGTCTGGTCTCTTTCACTCAGCATGTTTTCAAGATCCATCCATGCTATAGCATGTCTCAGGACTTCATTCTTTTTTATGGCTGAGTACTGCTGTATGTTTCATCTGTTCATGGACACTTGGGTTATTTCTGTCTGTAGGCTGTTGTGAATAGAGCTACTGTGCACATTAGCATAGAAGTATCTGTTTGAGTTCCCATTTTTTATTCTCTTGAGTATATACCTAAGAATGGAATTGCTGGGTCATGTGGTCACTTTTGGATCTATGGTAAACTTTTGGAGGAATTGTGAAGCCTACCTTCCTTTTTAAATGCTTTAGCTGTGATATGTGCATCCAAAGAAAATGTGTCAGTTTGTGGAGTTTTTCTTTGTGTGTGGGTTGGAGTCTCACTCCATCACCCAGGCTGGAATGCAGTGGCATGTTCACAGCCACCCCAGTGTCGACCCGCTGGGCTCAGGTGATCCTTCTGCCTCAGCCTTCCAAGTAGCCGGAACTACAGATATGCACCGCCATACCTGGCTAATGTTTTGATTTATTGTAGCGAAGAGGTCTCACCAAATTGCCCAGGTGGGTCTCGAACCTGTAGGCTCAGGCAGTCCTCTCACCTCGGCATCCCAAAGTGCTGGGATTACAGGCTTGAGCCACCGTGCCCAACACTGTGTTTTTTAAATTTATATACTGTGTTACACACTTGTTCTGCCACTTGCTTTTTTTTTCCCCCCCTTCTTTTTTGTTTTCTTTTGTTTTGTTTTGAGTCAGAATCTCACTCTGTAACCCAGGCTGGAGTACAGTGACATGCTCGTGGCCACTGCAGCCTCAACCTGCTGGACTCAGGTGATCCTTCTACCTCACCCTTCAGGTGCACGCCACCACACCCAACTGATTTTTTTTTTTTACTTATTGAAGAGATGAGGTCTCGCCAAGTTGCTGAGGCTGGGCTCAAACTCCTGGACTCAGGCAATCCTCTCTCCTCCACCTTCCACATTGCTGGGATTACAGGTGTGAGTCACTGCACCCAACTCCTTTCTTTCTTTTTTTTGAGTTGGAGTCTCACTCGGTCGCCCAGACTGGAGTGCAGTGGCCGCTCCCAGCCACCACAGCCTCACCTGCTG